AGTGCTTATTCCTGTCCATTTTTATTTTTTCTTTATATTTGCATTTATTTTCCAGATATTTTACAATAAGCATCTATTTCTTTTGTAATCATGAAAACAGTAGATAAAGACAGATACAGTGCTCTGGCCGGTTTGGCTCAGTGGTTAGAGTGTCAGCCCTCAGACCAAAGGGTGATGGGTTTGATTCCTGGTCAAGGGCATGACCCGGGTTGCAGGTTCGATCACCGGCCCCGGTTGGGGTCATTCGGAAGGCAACCAATCAATGTGTCCCTCTCACATCAATGTTTCTCCCTCTCTCTCTCCTCTCCTTTCCATTCTCTCTAAAAAAATCAATGAAAAAATATCCTCAGGTGAGGATTAACTAACTAAAAAAGAAAAGATAAATATAGCAAAAGACCCAGGTCTTCTGAAATGAACCACAATTTGAGTCCAGGGTTTGGATGGTTGAGGTGTCCTGTGAAATATCCACGCTCGCACGTCTCTGTCACTGAAGTCACTTCCAGAGCAGCTCTGCACAGCTGCTGGTGCCTCCTCTCACACGCTCCTCTTTCTCCTGGGGACCCGTTAGGCCCAGTGCAGCAGAGAAGACAGGTAGTGGTTTCAGAACAATAACATAACCTTTTTCCCTAAAAATAAAATTCAGGGTAGTGCTTTTCTTCATTTTTATTTTTTATAAGTCACCATACTCACACATTTGGAGTAATGCTGTAGAGGCTCTTGCCAGAGGACTTATTCTTAGGTCCCCACCGCAGCATATTTTACTGCTGAAGGTGTCAGTGTGACAGCCTCACAGTGGGGCCATCAGAGTGCATCTAGGCCCGACCTCCCAGGACTTGAAAATCTGTGCAAGCCCAGGGACCCAGCACACAGTGGGGGCCTCAGATGAATCTAGGGAGGACGGGACAGGTATGAAAGGTGCCTGCACAACTTGGGACAGTGGTTTCTGATCTTGATCTGGACGTGGATTTCCAGATTGCGTCTGCAGCCTGATTTCTCAGCACCGCAGTTTTCCCACCAGACAAATGAGAATGTTTATGCATCTCTTTGAGACACTTTCAAGGAGTAGTGAAATGCACAGCATGCCCATCGGGAAGTTGGTATTCGACCTTCTACCCACAGGTCTCTCTCAAGCAGGTCATTAAATGAGGAACAGTGGAGAGAACTAGCGCTGCTCATCCCAGAGAAGAGTGGAAAAAGGACTGGAACATAACAAGTGTCATCTGTGTGAAGGACAGGTTTGTTCCATGTGGCTTCCCAGGGTAGAACTGGAGCCAGTGGTGGAATTTATAAAAGGTCCAATTTCTGCTTCAGTAAAAAACGAACCTCCTATGAACAAAAACGTTACCTAAAGTAAGGCAGTGCTGAGTCACTTGTCACTGAATATCTCAGTGGCACTGACTGATCACAGGGTAGTTTTTGTAGAGCGGGATTCCTGTGTTGAGTTGAAACTAGACAGATGACCCCTAATAGTCCTCCCAACTCCAAGGACCTATGTTTCTGCCACTTGGCCTTTTTGCTTTGGAATTGCTTGAAAATAATTTATAATTCCTCCTTAATACCATTTTACTTAGGCCCAGCCAGAGCTGCAGTTGCCAGAAGGCCTTCTCCCGACAGAGGTGGAAATTTGGCTCATTTATGATTGTCTATCTCCTCATTACAGGAAAAACTCACAACATAAGTACTGCCTTCCCAGAATAAAAATTAGAGCACATACTCCCAGCCTTCCTTGCAGGAAGGATGCAGTCTTGACCCTTAAAGGCTCCTATTCAAGACTTGAATTTGGAAGTATAACTGAAGGGAAGGGGGGGCGGGGGAAGTACGGAGGAAAGGGAGTTCAGCCTGGTGCCCCTAGACTTTTCTTAAAAGTGTTTTGCGTGATGGCAGAGATATCTGGCCTTCAGTGGTGGCAGCTGTTTCCCGGACATTTCGAGGTCAAGCCTGCAACTGCACTTTTCATTAGACATAGTAGAGTGGCATGCGCAGTCAAGCAGGTTTCTGGCATTCAGTGCTTCTGAGTAGAGAGGTCACCACAGTCTACTCATGGAGTCTGTTGCCGAGGTTTGGGGGTGCTCCTGGAAGGTAAGCCTCAACCCTCACTTCCATCTGCCTGCAACTCAGTGCTGCAACACCATCTACCATCACTTAAGAGAATGGTTAGATGCTCACTTTACCCATTTTCCTCTCTGTCCTTAGACACACACAAAGCTAGACTGCCTTTCCCAGCTTTCCTTTCATTTGGGTGTGATTGCCGGACTGAATTATGTCTAATGGTGTGTGAGCAGACGTGACAGACTTCTGTGCCTGGTCCCTAAAACCTCCGGGGCAGTCTCATCTCCCTGCAGAATCCAGTAGACGACAAGAACCCTAGAAGATGATGGAGCCACTAGTAGAAAGGAGTTGGGTCCTTGAATCTCTGACTGGACTATGCTGTGAATGGGAAATAAGCCTCTAATTGTTTTAAGCCACTTTGATTTCAGGGTTGTTGTAGGGTTAGCCCATCCTGACTAATACACTTAATAAATTCATTTTCTGTTGAACTAACCAAAGTAGGTTTTATTTTTTTTGTGACTAAGATCTCTGAGTATTTCACTTACCTACTTGATATGCCCTCAAGAGGTCTGATTTGTGGTTTAGGAAGTCACATCTGCAGGTAGGCTCTGGTTCCCTCAGAACAAGAGGCATTGGGCTTGACTTGCTGTATAATACCTGCCCCAGTGAGTGGCTCTAACACCTAGCAACCCTATGAATGAGTGATGTACAAGATGTTCTGTCCTGTAGATGCATGCCTGTGGCTTCTTTTATGGAGTCAATCCATCTCACATTTGGTTTTCTTTGTGGGGTTGGGGAGTTGGAAGATGGACGATTTGTAACCTTGTGTTAGCTATCTGGCCAGCCCAGGTGCACTGAATGCTTCATTTGCATGTGAATAAGATAAGGTTTGCATGGGTGGACTAATGGGTCCTAAAACTCAAGAATGTCTGTGTTTGTTATTTTTTCCCCAGGTAAAAAGCAAGAGACAAAGCTAGGCTATAGGGTTTGCTGAGAGGACATCTCAAGAAAATATTTTACATAAATCCACTTGTAACCTGGGGGTGCCAATCTGCAAATAAATGGGACTGTGTCCAAAGATCTGGAGCATTTGCTGCCTTGCAAAGTTCCCCCTCACTCCAAGCAGCGTGCGCTTGTAGTTTCATTGCGTTGCACCAGTCCAGGCAGGCCGAGAGACGACGTTTCTTCTTTCCCTACTGGCATACTTGGACCTCTCTTCTAATGCAGGACGAAGGGATCCAGCCAGTGCCCCATGCCAACAATCACCATCCTTCCTCAGGACCAGGTCATAGAAGTCTCTTCAAGGGAGAGTCAGCTTCTCCTCCTCTCAGTCATGGCAGGACCTGTGGCTTCACTCTGGAATTCCCTGCTGGAAGCTGAGGAAAGTCAGGCATGTTCTTCTTGGTGCTTCTGAACTCAATCTAGGGAATCCTGCCCCTCCTCTTTATGATAAAGGGAAGCCAGCTCTGAGTCAGGAGCCCAGAGAACCATCTCTGAGGAAATAACTTTGCAGCTAATTGAAATTAGGCTTTGAGTCAGTGTAGTAGATACCCTTTGGCATCTCTGGCCTGCTCACCCCTTGAGTACCCCCACCCACAGGGGTTGGCCCATGGCAACCATGCGTTGTATTATGTGACTGACTCCCCTCATAGTTGATTGGACCTGATCCAAACTGGTCCAAACTGGACCAATCCGATATTTTGTGCCTGAAATTTGGGCAGTTTCTGGCTCAGCTGCTTTGAGTCCATCTGTTGAACACAGCAGCTATAAACTGATAAACTGTGGATGGGGCCATCTTCTATGTCATGTAGACCGAGGAACAGGCCTAGAGGAAGCCAGTCAGCTAACGAAAATAGAGCAGCAGAAATAGAGAAAAAAGGAGAGTGAAGGTGAATGGAACTTCCTGAGCCTAGCTGCATCCCAGGCTGTGGGTCCACAAGCAATACATTTCTCTCGTTTGCTGAAGCTCCTTCAAGGTAGTTTCTAAAGCCAAAAATGGAAGGGTCTTAACTGATACAGGAAGTAGAAAATGTTACCCCCCAGACTGCCACCTCATGGAAACTCCCACCTCCTGACTTGTCATGAACTGGGAAACTGTACTCAGAACTAGGAAAACTATGGAGGCCGGGTAGACCTCTTAGGACCTACCTGTAAGTGGAAAGGACATGGCCTTTTTCTTCAGTGCAACAGCCTGATCTCCCAGTAGAGCAAAGGCAGAGCGCCCAGAGAGGTGGGCTGACCTACCCAGCTCCCACTGGCAGCCTGGGTTGGGGCTCGAACCCTGGTCTCATCCGCCCAGCCGCAAGGCCAAGTACAACCCCAAACGTGAAATCCCCTTTAGAATGAGCGTCCCTTTCCCACACGCAACCCCGGGACGCTGTGGCCAGGCAGGGGCTGTAAGGATAAGCACGCAAGTGTGCTAGACTGGTCACAAATGACGCAGCTAATTCCCCTCGCCCGGCTGGTCCCCGCAGCTGAGACGCCAAACACCCCGCGCGCACGTGCGACTGCAGCGGGCGACCGAGCAGCTGCAGGCGCCGGGCGCGGGGCTCAGCGCCCCTCCCCACCCGGCCCGCGCCGCGGGGAAGGCCCAGCCGGCCGGGCCTTTCAGAGTTAATTAGCTCTCATGCATATGGATGCCACCGTGATTGAACACGGTTGAGAGGTCAGAGCTTGACCTCGGGAGGCGCGCGAGAAGAAAAGACTCCTTTCTCAGCTCCGTTCCGAATGAACGCCGAGCGGTTCGGCGCAGCGCCCGGGCGTGGCCGCCCCGGTTAGTCCGCAGCCGCCGGCCAGCGGGCGGCGCCCCGCCCACGCTCCCTCCCGCTGACGACCTGCAGGTCCGGCGGCCCGGCCCTCGTCCCCGCGCGCTGTCGCTGTAATGCTATCTGCACTGGGAATTTATTCCGCAGCTTTCCTTTTCCGTGATGGTTTTCATTTCCTGTCTTTCAGAGCTGGAAGCGTTTATGGAATATCACATGGTTTTCGTTTACACAGGAAGTCAGCTGCAGCGGTGAGGAGATACCGACTGACTTTTTGTGTTTGTATTTTAGGTCCCCCAGAGACGGGGGCGGGGGGGGGAGAGAGAAACAGTTTGCAGCATTTTGTTTTGTTTTGAAACAGTTTTCCCTTTTCATCCAAAGTCACTGTTCTCCGAAGTGGCCTGTGATTATATACAGAAAGCAGCAGTTTATTTCTGACACGTGGTAATCACTTTATGTGAAGAAAGCTCAGCATGAAGATGATTTTGCTGTTCCCTGAGCTGAGGAGAGAGCCCGGAGGGGTGGGCGAGGAGCCTCCGGGACGGGCCGCGGGGAGAGGCTGAGCCCCACCCAGACCCGGCGCGGCCCGGGTCGCCTGCGGAGCTCGGCTCCCATCCTCCCGGAAAGACGGCCCTTACTGCCCAGTGACCTGCTAGGACCGCTGTGCTTGATCCAGCACATGTCGGTGTCCTTCCTCCCCGCACCGACAAGGACCACAATATGTCGTCTCTTCTTGACCCACCCCCAACCCACCATCCCAGCAATCAGGAGAATCTCTAGGCTTTATAACCGAGATAGAGGAGGAAGTGGAAGAATTTGCGATTTGTTCTGTAAACTCCGTCCTCCGGCCTACACTGAGTTAGAAACTCCTAACTAGAAGCACCTATAAAGACAGCACTCTAGTCACCCTCGCCCCTTCCCCTCTGGTTCTATCCGCTTCTCATCCTCCACCCGCGTTCACAGGACAACTGACCACCCTGGGCAATAGCGCCACCTCGTGGCCAGCACCCCTCTCCGAACATTTCTTCATCTTCCTTTTCCAGGAGCCTGAACAGTCCCTGTGGTCCCATGGGGGTTGCCTTTAAGAGCCAGGGTGTTCAAAACCAATTCAGGGCTGCTGAGGAGCCCCCACCGAGGACTGAAATGGTCCCTCCCTCCTTTCTTCTTGTTCCCGAATGAACTGAGAACACAGGACTAAAGGCTCTCCTTTCCTGCCACCTACTAGGCCACAATAACAGGCCAACCTCTTAGTTTTAAAGCTGAGCCCAAATTAAATGGAAAATGTCCTTTAAGAGCTAGAATTTGGGCACCTATTTTAGAGTGAACCAGTTTATTACCTTTTCCCCAAGGGTAAGTGGGCTCCTAGACAGGAGGAAAAGCAGAGGCAGGGGGCCCACCCTGAGGTTCAGGAGGGGCAAGAGCCAGCCCTGCAGAGGCCATTCTTCAAGGGCAGGGCTCACCCCTGTGCTGGGACTGGGAGGTGCTAAGGTGGTGGCTCTAGGAGGCAGGACAGGAAGTCCTGTGCCCATTTCAGGGGTGGGCAGGGAGCTCTCAAAGAACATCAAGTCTCCGTTGGGCCCCCAGGACCCAGTTGTTCCTGGCAGCTGAAACCTACTTATTTATTTATTTAATCTTCACCCAAGATTACACTTTTAATGGATTCTAGAAAGAGGAAGGGAGAGAGAGAAGAGAAACGCATCAATGTAAGAGAGGAACGTTGATTGGTTACCTCCCATCATGCCCCATGGGGATTAAACCCACAGCCTAGGTACTGCTCTGACCGAGAATCGAATCTGCCAACTTTTGGTGTACCGAAAATGCTGCAACCAACTGAGCCATCCTGACAGGGCCAGCTGAGACCCATTTAATTGAGACTGTCCGACAGCCTCACCATGACCATCTTCTTTTGCTCCTTTTCCCCAGGCCATAAAACTAGCAGCCGTCTGTGTGAACATGAGCCCCACATTTTTATGTGCTGCCTACTGGCAGCTGCAGGACAAGTGGGGACAAAGGCTGATTGCTGCAGCCCTTTCAGTCTCCCAGCATTAAACTGTAATGTGACCTGTTCTCTGAAACCAAATATTTGCAAGGACACCCGGAAGGCACCTGGCTACCAATCTCTTGATCAGGTGGGTCGTTTGCACTGTAAAAATCCCACCTGGGGATTTCCTCAGCTTCTGAGGGGTTAGCAAGCAAAACTCCCTTCCATGGCACAGGAAGCCTGGCCTCCGCTGTCCCAGGCAGGCCTGGATTGGGCTGTGCAGACTGAACCTCACTTGGGCCTGGGAACTGAATGAAAGAAACCCTGTGCCTCTGCGAAGCGGGCAGCTCTGGTCTCTGTCTGAGGCTCCGTTTTCCTCACAGGAAACTGTGTGCCTCCTGTTGCTCATTACCTAACTGAGGAACTATCTGAGTCAGCATGGTGCTTCTGAGGTTCTTCAGCTCCCAGTGAGCAGTCCACTCCGCACTGAGACAACGGGTTTGGTAGGTCCGTCTTCTTACCCCCTTCCTCCCACCCAGCACTCTGGTTCTCCTCTCTCCGGGAGGATGCAGTTTATTGGTCCTGGGGTGGGGGTGTCACAAACTTAATTACTATAAATTCCAACTCCTGCCTGGCTGTTGGGTTTTAGGGTGATGATCCCCAGTGAATCACAAGGGCTCTCAAGTGGCACACACTCTCTCTGCTCAGGACTCTACCTGGTCCCTGTGGTTTGATCCTCCGGAAAATGGGAAGATTTGCTGAGGGAAAAGGAAGTTTTGAGATGGAGAATCAGATGCCCAACCCCGAAAGCTTCTGAGAAGCTCCATGTTCCTGGCCAAGCCTCACCCAGATAGCCCTGCCTCTCCTAGAGCAGTCTGTTACTGAGGAGTGAGTGGCCCAGGCAGGCCTGGGCCTACGGCTCTGCCATCCTGGACTCAATTTTATAGTTTTAACTATAATTTTTTAATTATTTTTTTTTATATATATTTTTTAATCCTCACCCGAGGATATTTTTCCATTTTTTGTACAGATAGAGTGTGAGGGAGAGAGAGGAAGGGAGAGAGAGAGAGAAACATCGATGTGAAGGGACACATCAAGTGGCTGCCACCCGCACGACCAACCAGGGCCGGGGACAAACTGCAACCGAAGTACATGCCCTTAGTGGGAACCGAACCCGGGTCTCTCCGGACCGCAGGCCGACGCTCTAACCGCTGAGCCAAACTGGCCAGGGCTAATTTTTTAATTATTGATTTTTAGAGATAGGAAGGGAGAGAGAGAGAGAGAGACATTGATGTGTGAGAGAAATATCCATTGGTTGCCTCCCACACAACCCTGACTGGGGATTGAACCCACAACGTGGGTATGTGCCCTGACCAGGAATTGAACCGCCACCTTTTGGTGTATGGGATGATGCTCCACCCAAATGAGCCATACTGGTCATGGCCTGAACTCAGTTTTCAATATGTATTTATTCCTACTGCATTTCCAAATAAAAGACCTTCTGGTAATATGCCAGAATGAGATATATAATGATGTTGTTTAGCAGCAACTGTGTCATTCCATGTTGTTGATAGTAAAATAAATTAACATAATAAACATAATCTGCTCAAAAACGGCTAAGGAAAAGCAGATGGTTAGCACATTTCAGCAGGATCTGTTGGTCCAAGTTTGCACGGATGTTTAGACAGAATGCTGCCTGCAACAGATGCTCGCCTGGGTCCCCACGTGATGGGCATAAGGTGACTCAGCATGTCCTGGGGGAGGGCTGGGCCCACCTAGGGGGTGGGCATTATCCAGTCTGTCTGTGGGGTTGGTCAAGGGCCCTTCCCTGGAAGTGGGGGGTCACATAGCAGTTGCTTGCCTAGGTCTCAGCCCAAACGGCTCAGCGGGGAGCCCTGCCTCTGCCTTGCTGCAGGGCAAAGCCCATGCTTTCCCAGCACTCGGGCCATTAGCATGCACATCCCATCCCTGCCCAGTGGCTGTTCTTTGTGCTTCTGGAACAAACCAGCTTTCTTCAGGGGAGAATGGCACTCCAGCTTCTGCCCACAAGCTTCCCAGTGGCTTTGCGAGCCAGTGGGCCATAAAAGAGAAGAAAAAGTTATTTTTGCAAGAGGCCCTGGCTCTGCAGTGCCTGGGAAGCAGGGTGAGGGACGGGGGTGTGGGGGGTGTCTCTCTTCTCCCCAGGTTGGAACTGTGAGCCTGCAGATCACTGCCATCCCAGGTCTTAGTGGCCAGGACTTGCTTCCTCCTCCAGCTGCTGTTTGTAGCTGGGATGCCAGGCCTGTCACTGAAAAGGGGACCCTTACCAGCATGCAGACAGGTACACAAAGGTCCTGGAATTTCCTGTACTGCTTGGGCACCTGTGTACAAAACCTGGGGGTTGATACTGCAGACTTCAGAGACTGTTCAGAAGTTTCTGACGGAGGGACTTTGGAGTAGGAGTCCCAGCTGTTTATGAAATAACCAAGAAGATCCTGGTGTAGGACAGCTCACATGCCTGCTACGTCACAGTGGCACGCACTGGAACCTGTCTGAGTGGAATTGTTATGAAAATGGGTGTGATGACTGTCCAGCGTGCGTAGCACCATGCCTGGCCTGTGCCGTGTGCCTACTAAATGGAGATGCTAGTCCTGTCTGCAACATCCAAGCTGGTTTCAGGAAAGGCAGCATTTCCCCTGGGTCCAGAGGATAATTAGGACCTCATCCACGTGTCTGAAAGGCCCCTCAAGCAGGACAAGGCCAAGACTTATCTGTCCTCAGATTTGCTCCTCAGCAGCTCCTGACTGGTCTGCTCCATCCAGCTCCTACAGGTCATCCAGCTCCTACAGGTCATCCAGCTCCTACAGGTCATCCTCTTCCCCCAGCTCTTTCCTCTGCTCCAGAACCTGCTCCTCAGCCCAGGTGCTCTGGGAGGCAGAGACCAGGCAGTGTTACCAGGCTCACCGGGAAATCAGTGAAGGATAAAGAGGTGAAGGAACAGGAAGAGTCAGGGAGAGCCTTCAGACCAGGACCAGGTCTGACATCCAGGAAAGGAAGGAGGAAGGAAGATGGGGGCAGAAGAGCCTGTGCCAGCCCAGTGGGAGCCCCACAGTCCCCTGTTGAGGTCTGTCATGGGGCAGGGTTTGGCCTCAGGTCGAAGGCCGGGTGGATCTGGATGGCATTGCAGCCTGGAGCAGTTAGGCAGCTGACCACTCTCCTCCGGGCAGGTTCTCTCCTGAAGCAAAACAGGGCAGTGCACCCCCTTGGCTCTACACTTACTAATGAGTCCCCTTGCACTTGGAGCGTCATGCTCTGACTCTGCAAGCCCCTGCCTACCTTGTCCAACTCATTTTCCCCTGACTCCCTTAAGCCCCCCAGCCACTGTGCTTCAATCCCCAGATCCTCAGACAAGCCAAGCTTCTCCCGGTATTGTGGCTTTTAGGACTGCCTGGAACACTGACCTCCTCATCTTCTGTGTGGATTCTTCTTGCAATTCCGATCTCAGTTCAAGTGTCAGCAAGCTTGCCTGGACCTCCCACCCTGAAGCCCCACCGCACACATTACTCTGCAGAGCATCGGATTTCAGCCTTGCATGGCCCTCCTCACTATCTGCATTTGTGTGTCTCTTCTGCTGCTTGTTTACGTGCGTACATCTGCAGTGTCACTCTGAGGCCAGAGGCCTTGCCTTCTCTGACGTGCTCACCACTGTATTTCTAGAACGGCGCTTGGTACACAGTAGGCACACAATACATACATGAAGCAGGCATGAATGCGAGACCTGGAAGGGCCGGGAGCACTAGAATTTGGTAGCTGAGTGTTCTGGGCAAAGTGCTACCCACTTTTCAGAACAAAAAGAATGAGTTTTCAGAAGAAAAAACGTGGAGTGTGTGGGCCTCGATCAGCCTAATAGGAAAGTGTATTAGGGAAAGTGATCCCAAAGCCAAGGGCACCACACACATTGAAGGTACTTATTCCTTAGCCAATCCTCTTCGGGTTTTTAGCGTAACAACCACTGTGATGTGCTAACATGCTAGTGAAGGATGGATCAGAACCTCCTCCCCCACCATTCCTTAGCTCTGAGTAGTTTTAAATAATTCTTTAACCTAATAGACCTGCTTTTGTTGTATAGTACAGTCTTAACTATTGGCAATTTAGTTGTTACCAGCAGACTTGGTTCTAGAACATTCCAGTGACTTGCTCCTTGGCTTTGGGCAATTTCCTAGCATAATTCTTAAATTATTTTGTTGGGGCACTAGAAGGGTATATCTATATAGAATTTTTCTTGCTGACATTTATAAACAAATGTTTCCAATTGATACATTTCAAAAACAAGCAACCTCCAGAACCACACCCAACAACAACCTAAAAAAAACCCAGTTTCCAGTTATCCCAAATTCTCTGGACTAGCAGAACGTAGCCCTCTCAGTACTGTATGTACGGTGCTAGCAAATCACCCTACAACTATAACAAAAATCTTCGTCAGGGCCACTGCGGCACAGATGTTTTGCATAGCAGCTGAGCATTGTTTAGTATCAATAAACACTATCTTCAAGACATAAAACGTGAGCGTGGAGCTAAACATGGCAATAACAAGACTGTGCAGACGATTTGCAGGGAAATGGAATAAGACTCCAGGCTGTGTAGCCCCTTCCTCCCACGTGGAATGCCCCATTTCAGAGCAGGCTGTGCTGGTGTTGACCACTGGCAGGCCCCAGGCTCAGATCTCTGTGCCAAGTGGCCAGTTTGCTCCCTAGAATTGAATGCCTGGAGTTTGTGCTAGACCCATACACCCCAATTTGTGGTTCTCTGGGTCCATCCTTTGGCATTTGTTTTGCAGATGTCACCAAAGATTTAACTTTGCTGGTGCTGATTTCTGAAGCCATGCAGTCTGTGCCAAGCTTCGGGTGCTGTGGCCTGACCACAGACAGTTTAAAAGAAATAACTCCCAACTAGATACTATCCCTCCAGGATACCCAGCTAGTGTCTCCTGCTCTCATTTCCTCCAGAACATTCCTTTAGAGACGATGAGCTGCCACATTGAACCCCAGAGCTCACCAGAGGTTCCTGGAAGGACCATGATGGAGCAGTTCACTTGGCCACCAGCAGGAGATGATGAAGCGAGTGCCACATATCAGAACTCCACTGGATTGGATCTGGAGGGGAGATGGGCTAGCCTAACCCTCATTTTTCATATGTGGAACTGGGGCCAAAGCAATGACATGACTGTTCAAGGCACATAGCCAGGTGGAAGCAGCCAGAACTGGACTCCAGGCAAATTTGATATTTGATGCCAACATCCGTTGCCATTTAGTTCTTCTTTGGTTGTGGGGACATTTGTCCCTGGAACATAGGGGTCTAGAAACTTCTATTTGTTCTAAAAGGGGTGAGATTCCAGAAAATCTTGCTTGGATCTATTCCCATCTATTCCAGGATTAGTTAAATTGTTGTGTGAGTCAGACTGTCATGTGTTGCTCTGAATGTGGGGGAGCAGGTCTAGGGTGGACACCTCCCAAGGACTGCCTGC